AATCTCGCTAAATTATATTCGATAAACTATAACTACGTTCAATTCTCCTCAGCCCCAATTCGGTGACAATGTTCTAAATTATTAATTCGATAATTTAATATTTTATTGAATTAATAGAGTTTTGATAGTCTCGATCTAAAAAAAATGAAAAAATTATTTCTGTAGTACTTCATCAGACTCTGAAATTTTTGCCGGAGAAAGTCTGACCGAATTGCCAGTTCGACGGCACGATGTTCCACGAAGTGGATTTCCGGCGATCGCTGGTCTTCACACGAAAGGAGATTGATTGGCCAGTGAGATCGGCGTTAAATTGCCATTTTTGCCCCCAATTGCGGCTCATCGCCATCCAATCAGTCTTCGATCCCTTAATCCACACTTTAATGATGTCGCCGGCACCGGCGACGTTGCTTATCAGAACCAACTTGAAATAATTCATGCCGTCCATTCTGAATCTGATCCCGCCCTGCTTGCGGCACGGCACCCTGCAAAAATTGCATCCGACCATTAATTCAATTTAAATAAATAAATAAATAATGTGAAAAAACGAAAACCCTAAATGGTGGGCCGACTGACCGGCGAAAAGAAACGGGCACAATGCCAGCCTCATACTTGGCGATTTTGAGGAAGATGGGGTAAGCGAGATCGAAATGGGTAAGGGGCGGGTTGCACCAGCCACCGTTGTCGTTGGGCAGGGCGTAATTGGGCGGGCAGTAATTCGTGCCGGTGATGGTAATTGACGGGTTGCCCGGGAGGCACCATTGCGGGACGTCTTTGCACTTGATCTCGAAACACGCGCCACAGCTCAACCCGTTGTTGAAGAGCGCCGTGCTTAGTGCCGCCGTGTTAGCGGCGTTCCCTAGGCTTAAACTATCATCGTACCCGCAAGCACCCCCTGCAAATATTTATTTATCCATGCATCATGGTTATTATTTACCATAAATTGAAGAATTGAGTGTGTTTTATTTTATCTGGTTTGATGGTTTATATTATGCTACACTGGGTAAAATACTCGAGTAGATCTTAACTACTCGTATGCACACACTCATATAGGTGTGTGTAAATCAGCGGTAAAATCACTCGATGTAACCTTCATCGGATGTAGCATAGAAATAACTCTGATTTGAGTAAGCATTGCTTACCCATAGTGCTAGGGGCATCGTGTTGGCCGTAAAACGTAGCGTGGGCGGTTTGCCAGGGGCCGCCATGGTAAACTCCGGGAATTCTGGCTTCGACGACAACATGGCTGAGTACTAGTAAGAACAAGCTAACAATGCAAGTGGTCAAATCCATTGTTTCCATTTTAATTTGTTGAGTGTGTTACATATGAGGGTTTAATGGAGAAGAATAAGAAGTGTACGTGCAAAAGGAGAAAAGAGTGGGGAGTGGTTTTGACCAATGAATGAGTGTGTGTTACCTGTGAGGGTTTTTCATTGAGAAGATCAAGGGGAGAGAGAGAGAATATTAACGTCACTTAATATTCCAGTTCTAACCACTTAGTGTTTTTAATTTTTTTTTAATTTATTTATTATTATTTTTTTATAGTAAATAACCACTCAGTGGGTTGTTTTGACTAATTTACTCATTCAATATTTAGAGTTTTTTTAGGAAACGGTTTTAATTTTGAGAAATTGAGAAGGGTAATAGAGGGTTTTGTAGGGTTTACCAGTATATGTGGAGATTAAAGTAAAACGTAATTTTGAGATCTATACAAATAATTATGTGTAAATTAATATTGCATGATCACCCTTTGTATTTCATTGGGTATAGCATCTACAAAATCAATTTTGTGAAAGTTACATTCTGTGAAATATAACCGATGATTTTGCACCGTTGATTTAAATATAATAACATACATATTCATATTCATATGTTTATGTATTTAGTGGGTGGTTATTTAAATAGATCTATTGTTTAAAACCATCCTTTATATTACACCAGATATAGCGTCACATAGACCGATTTTAGAGAAACCAGCTTGTAGAATATTACTTGAAACACATATGAGTTTTGGATTAATCTTTTAAGATGAGACACCAGTAGGGTTGGAAAATAATAAATTGTACTTTAATGAAATCACTCGAACACATAAGTCGGGACGACCGTGAGAACAAGCTGCCAATGTGGTCATTTAGAACCTCTACGTGTAATAGTTCTTAAATCATACAAGAGACATGAACCACATCGGTCGATATAAAAATCGTGAAGTTCTCAGAACTTCACGATAAATGATGTGGGGCCGTCATAATATAGTTGCATTTCATTTAAAGGCCCATTTATGTTTGGGCCAAAATGTAACAACATAAAAATATACTTCCCTTCAACTCAAGACATGATTGTTCAGAATGATCAAATATTTGTTTTATTACTTTAGACTTTTAGTAAATATGGGGCCCACCATTCAAACTTCGTCTTGTTTGTGATTAAAATATGTGTATCCGCCAACAATTTAAATAAATTTTATTTTTATTTTAATTAAAAATAGTCAATGATACTATGAAAATAATTTGTGAAATTAAAGTGACATTTAATTATTTTTTAAATTTTTTTTTTTAATAATTTGAAAAAAACCCAATAATTAATTGTCAATATTTGGGAGACGTAGCAAATAGAACTGAAAATTTGTGTGTCAGATGGATGGGGCCCATGAAAAAAGGCCCAGGAAAAAAGGCCCATCCTGTAATAAGAGGTAGCGTAGCGCCAATTGTTTGATTTACCGGAAGCGCCGGTTGACAGAGAAACAATTTGCACTTTTTTTATTAGTGCTGACACCGGATAATAAAAAGTGCGTAAGCCACCCGTTTCGATATCTTCTAGGCTGCCCGAAGTGGGACCCCACTAACGCCGTTATATTCTCCGTGAATCTCTTTTCCGGTTTGCTCTCTCGACGCGCAAACGCCGTCAATGTTTCTGCTTCTTTCCCTTTCCCCACCCCCCACCGCCCTATGCTCCCACCTGTCACGTTTTCCATGTTACTTGGATAATCACAACCAGTTGTTCCTCACGACAGCGACAATAAACGTGAAATTAATTACATTTAAAAATGATTAATCAATTCATTAGATTATTTTTAAATATATATTCACTAAATGTGTATAAATTGCATGCAGTGAGCAAATCTTATACGACGAGCTCGGCATTGCATTCTTCATATTACATCAATTAGATTACTCGATCGGTCGACTCAACTGAACCGAATCAAATCGAAAATTCGGAATCTAAAATTCGATTTGGTATTCAATTAAGATTCTTTGGAATTCCGGTATTCGTTGCAGTATTCGGTATTGATGTCTGGTATAATAAATATTTATTCGTTTATAAATTAACCTCTATTGATAACCACTTTCCATTTTTAGGGCCGATTATTGAAATTTGAATGTAATATTTCAGAATTAATTATTTTCGATTTTACCGGTACGATTCGTAAAAACCGAATTTAATTCGGTGAACACCGAATAATTCGAGTACACATTTTTTAAGTATTGAAATTTCGATTTACCAAATTTCAGTACGGTGCGGTATAGTATCACTATTACCCAACAAACACCCCTCCTACACATTAGTAAAATAACTAATAAAACAGTGAAATTGTCACAAGATCAATTTTGGTTAGTTAATGCGCCGAAAAAAATAATTATGAATGATGTCAACCTCGTAAGTAGAGAATACTGGTTTATCATGAATGATTCATATATTTCAAGTCACATCTTATAAATATTGATTAAATTAATAGTTATCTAGAAAAAGAAAATAAAAAAATTAAACTGCATATTCCCCAATTTGTGATCATCTTTGGTTAAATTTGGCAAGTGGTCACTATTTATATATATTAAATCACCTATTATTGGTCCTTGGCGGTTTAGTAACTTAATACTATTTCATGTACCCTACCATACTTTTTATGTGACTTTAAGATTTCTTTATTTTTTTTCATTTATTTTTTAATAAAATGTGACCTCATTACATGAATATCTAATGTTTTTTTTTCATAATTGCATCCACCTCTTTATAATATGTAGATTTCTTACATTAACACCTTTAATAGAAGTATGAACGTCAGAAATTTACAAACTGTAGGGAACTGAATATAATTAATTACACTTTATTTCAAAGAAGTAGTTGTAATTTACCCTAAATTAATTATTATTTAAAAAAAAGGAATTCATTGGATACTAACCCTCCTTTAAGAAAAAAGAAAGGAAAAGAAAAACTGAAAATTCAACTTATTCAATTCAATTTAAGCCTTAACGATTTTCTTTTTTTCCTTTTTTCCATTTGATAAGAGAATAAAGAAAGTTGTATTAAATAATGGTAGTCTCTTTAATTTTTCCATACAATTGTGTTAAAAGAATTATCTCGAAGTTTGGTCTTCTCTCACGGGCATAAACGAAAGTCAAATTATCCATATTTTGACCCCATCTATTGTTACTTGTGCAGTCTTACTTCTTCAAAATTAAACGTGTTAAATTCAAATTACTAAACTTTAATACGGTCAATTATGAAAAGTCACTATGACATGTAAACTGTATTGTACGTGGCACACTTTGGAGTTTCTTGTAAATTAACAAAAATATTTAAATAATGGGATAAATTACGACCACCCTTATTATGGCAATGTCAAATTATGAAATTACGAAAAAACTTTTCGTATTTGGGTAATACAATGAGGTTCCTCAATTACGAATCTTCTTACACATCCAACCTTTCAAATTTAGTGGAATCTTTTAAATAATGTGAAATATTCTTCAGTTTGTACTAGTTCTATCTTATTCGAGCTCCACATTTTGAAACAAATTGATCGTAAGATGTGTCTCTTGTAAATATTAGATTGTTGTGTATCAAAAGATGTATTTTTTCACAAAACGAGTACAGAATAGAGAAAATTACACGAAATCTAGAAGATTATGTTAAATTTGACAATATAATAATAAATATGCAAGAATATTCACAATTGAGGGATTAATTGTATTTATTCAAATATGAGGGGATTTTTCATAATTTAACATGAACTCAGGAATATTCGTAATGTACCTTAAATAATAATAATATTCTCTAAAATCGTTCCTTTTTTCAATCAGATAAGATGACGTTTCTGACCACTTATTCGCATGGGAGGATAATTAATTGCACATATTTCATCATTTATTTCAACTTTTATTGTATTTTATTTTAGCATCACCAATACATACATTTTAGCATACATAATTAATATCATTCAGTTGTTTTTTAATATGATTAATAAAATGTATATCTAAGAGAATTCATGTTAGCAGCTCATTTATTTATTTTAAGTTTAAAAGATATTTATAAAAATATTCTTAAAAAAATAAATTAAAATAAAAATAAAAATATACATTTGATTCTCTGCCACAATCCTAGTAAGATGTCACACTTTAATAGAAACAAAAAAAAATTACCCAATCCAAGTCACGTTACATTAATAGTTAATACCACTAAAAACTGCAACTTTTCACTTTATTATTACAATTAAATCAAAAACATCTAATGTAGAACAATTAAATTTAAGACAAAACTCCCAACTATAAAAAACACACACACACACAAAGAACACACAGTGCCACGTGCCACGTGGCGCATTCTATCTAACGAAGGTAGATGCGGTGGTGGTGGTGGTGGTGAAGAGTTTTTTTTTTTTTTTTTTTTTTTTCTTTTTGTTTTTTGGAGAATAGTTTAGGAGGTGGTCCCCACCTATCCCTCAACCCCCATCCCCATTTTCACCTCATTCTTACCCACAAAACCCATGAGATTAGAGATTTAATTTACCGGACAATTATGCCCCTACAACCGGTTGAACCGGTTTTGCGGGTCAATAAGTATAAAAGAATAACCCACAAAGGGGTTTTAGCACTGTTTTTGCCATTTGTTAGTTGGTCCTTGGTTGGTTGGTTTCTCCCAAACCCAGAGGTTTTATATAATTTCTCTCTTCCTTTTTATTTTTCCTTTAATTGGAAAAGAAAAAAGAAAAAGAAAAATAACAAATAACTAAATTCCTGTCCACAAACCATTTTTTTTTTTCATTTTTCATTTTTATTAATACAGGAGTAATTTATTTGCGTGACGTAAATTCGAATTCCTGGTTAAGAATTTAATTTGTATGGAAAAAAACTTTGGAAAATTAGAAACACAAGCCTAGATTTCTCTGCGGAATTGGATCGATCCATCAGGTAAATTGTGCTTCCTATTCATTTTTTTAGGGTTCTATTTCTCTTCATTTTTCTGTTTATATTTGAGATTGTAGTGCGTGGTTGTTTCGGATTTTTTTTTCACGATTTTGTGATTTGGATTTTGAGTTTGTTCACTGCGATTGCTTTAATCGGTGGAATTCTAGTTGATCCTGCAGAGATCTGATCAAATTATGCAAAATTGTGTTTTTTTTTTGTTTGATTGCTTTTAAAGTTAATAAAATGGGAAGTTTTTGTTTTTAACCGAAATCTGATTTGGAAAATAAATTTTAGATTTATTGATTTCCTGGATATATTTTGCGTGGATTTCTCGAATTTTGATCTGGTCCAAAATCTAGTTGATCGGGCTCCGGAATCACTCAACCGGATCTGATGATTTTCGTGAACATTTTTTGCTTTTATTGCTGCAGAAAAGCTTTGTGAATGGAGAATTGGAAATTACAAGGACCGTAGAAATTCAAGCCTTGTTACTTGTTTGATTCAATTGTCGTATTTTTCGCATACTTCTTTATCACGTGATCAGATGAAGCTGTACTACCTACCCTCTCTTGCCTTTGATCTAAACCCGATTATCGACAATGGCATTAATTTTGTGGGATGTTGTGTGCATTGATATGTGACTTCTGTTATTTTTGCAATCTTGGTTATGGATCTCACTTCTTAATGGTTTGTGGTTTTTCTCTAATTGGAAATTATTTTGCAACTTTTAAGGGTTTTAGACTTGGGTTTTACATTTTCTACAGTATGTTCGTCTCGAAAGTCATAGATCATACATACTTTCTCCGGATTGATTAAATGTTTGATTATTTTTGTTTCTTATTTCAGATTGGGTGACGTTTCAACACTATTGCATTTGATGATCTCATATTGGTATGCTACTTAAGATATGGTGTCAAAGAAAAGGCTGGATACTGGACTCGATGGCTACCGGGCCCCCTTTATTCCCAAAGCTCCTAGATCAATTAGGGTAACTGTTTTTGAGTAATGTGTTTTCTGCCATCCGAATAATCCTATATGTTACAAAAGCTCATCATATTTGTATGTCTTCTCAGAGGAGGGGCCCGCTCAAGAAACTGGTGGTGGAACACGGTGAACTTTGTGCCTTTGAATTACTTGCAGCTGTAGCCGGAAAGTTATTACAAGAGAGTGAAAGCTCTGCTTCTAGTAACATAGCCGAAGGGAAATCCCCCCTCGACATTTTCCCAGATGAAAATGAGAGGGTGCAGCCTAAAGAAGACAATAAAGCTTTGAAATCGGAGAGCTTCGACCATGGAAGTTTCGCCGAGAGTGCATTTGTTCCAGAAGTTTCCGTCCAGGAGCACAATCTCTTGTCCAATTTTAAGGGACTCCCACAAGAAGTGAATGACTATGTTGTCGAACATACTAATGTACATGCAAGTTCTGATTTTCTAGAGAAAATCGATTGTGATATAAAGCTAGGAATCTGCGAGGACAAGATTTCGGAGAACGGTTCGGAAATGCAATTGAAGGATGAAAAGAACGAGATAAGTTACTTATCCATGGCTAACATATCGACTGTAAATGATCCAGTCGGTGAATGTGTGAATACTAATAATGTACTGATTAACTCGGAGGGTAGTGTAAAGTTGCCCTTGTACAGAGACCCCATTTCTGGTGCTTTATTGCGAAAGCACCGAAATAATGTAAAGTTAGGGATTAGAGATGATGACGAAAATTCTTTCGGGTGCAACAAATCCAGCACCAAGGTTAGGGCCTTTAGGCCACAACTACGAACTGGGCACAATAGAATAAGGAAGATGATGACATCCAAGTACTGGAAGTCGGCTCCCAAACTGAGGGATTGTGATCTTTACAACACTAGTAAGTGGTGAACTTCTTACATGTTTATCTGAGTTTGTAATAAGCATATATTTCTTATTCGTTCGATTGATACTGCATATGTAATAATCGGTATTGTTTTTTTTTTTTTTTTTCTTCAGGTGAGGGGATGAAGTCTTATTACCGGTATAGGAAGAACATTTATGCACGAGAAAGATGTCAACGAGCACCTCTTAAGAAACGCAAACTATATGACCATGACCGAAGCAGTGATAGTATCTCTAATTTGCCTGAGAAAGTGGCGAGGGCAGATAAGAGTGGTGCCGCTTCATTCTTGCATAAAGGTTTTATTATCATTATTTGTGATTTGAAAGTTATGCAATTAGTAGATTTTTCTAAATGTTAATTGTTATGTTTTGCAGCTAATGGAGCTTCAGTCACCGGGAAAGGTCATTCAAAAGCTAAGGATTCTTCTCATGGTAATTTTTTGTTTTCTCTCCCAAAGAATCATCTTCCCTTTTAAATCTAATTTGTATTTTTTAATGAATAACAATGCTAAGCCATTTGTTGTCTCTTTCTTCAGTGAAATTTAGCATCAAGTCCTTCAAGGTGCCAGAACTTTACATCGAGGTCCCTGAAACTGCAACCGTGGGTTCTCTGAAGGTATGTGCTGCTCTCTTATTTTTATATTGTTCTTGCAGTTAATATTGTCAATGTCCGATCTTGATTTGAATGTGAATCAATTCTGTAACATTTCTATTCTTGTTTATTCAGAAAACTGTGATGGAGACAGTCACTGCTATTCTAGGAGGTGGAATACGAGTAGGAGTAGTCTTTCAAGGGAAGAAAGTCAAAGATGACCTTGGAACTTTAAAGCAGGCCGGTATTTCTCAGTGCAGTAATCTCGATAGTCTCGGCTTTACATTGGAGCGCAGTTTCAAACATGTTTCCCCTTCAACGACCCCCAAAAAAATTCCTATTGCAGATCAGCCCTTGCCAATGTACGTTATTTTTTTACATTATCTTTTTACATTATCGATATATTTGTATTTATTGGGAGTTGGTGAATTGATATTTATATGTATATATATTTTAGGTCTCCTGCAACTCCAATGATCGATTCAGGGCTATCAGATGCCTCAGTTGATCCGCCGCTTGTTGCTAAGATAGACGATGTGGATAGTAAAGAATTTATATTCTCTCCAAGTACACCTGTCGATGTACTATTGGATGGAGAAGCCACCGAGTCCAAGGCATTGGTTCCAGTGAGTCCGATGAATGTTGACCCACTTGCTGTTGTTCCGTCCAACCATAAACCAAAACGCTCTGAGCTGTCACAGCGTAGAACTAGGAGGCCCTTCTCTGTGGGAGAAGTCGAAGCACTGGTTGAAGCTGTTGAAACCCTTGGAACTGGAAGGTAAAGGCCGTAGTTTTATCATTATTTAATATATCGATAATTAAGGGAAAAATTGCCGATTTTGTATATTAATCTTGATTTTTTTTTTTTGGTTACGCAGGTGGCGTGATGTGAAAATGCGTGCTTTTGAAAATGCAGATCATAGAACTTACGTCGACTTGAAGGTGCGAAATCTATTTCCCAATTATGATTTAAAAAAAAAGAAATAAAAAGTAATTGCAAAAGATACCTTGCTTGAGTTTACAGTATATGGAATATCCTGTATAGCACATGCTTTTCGGGGTGTAATGTCAGCCTATGATTGAATCATTATCACATGGGTTGATGTGAAGATTATTTAATTAAAGCAAATTAATACAAAAACCGTGCTTTTAGCTCATGTGATGTTTTGCTTTAATTACAGGATAAGTGGAAGACTTTAGTACATACAGCTAGCATTTCTCCACAGCAAAGAAGGGGAGAGCCTGTGCCACAGGATCTTTTGGACCGTGTTCTATCCGCGCATTCTTATTGGTCGCAGCATCAGTCGAAACTACACGTGAAGCACCAGATCGAGCCTCTCAAAATCGGGGATTCACGAGAGGAGGAGATTGTTGGAGTTTGAAAAGGGTGGTCGGGGATTATTAATTTCTTTTTTTTTTTTTTTTTTCTTTTGGAAATTTCTGATGATTTGTTGAATTTGTAAAAAGAATTTACTGTTGTTACTGTAGGAACAAGCTGTAAAAATGTGTCTGTTGGAGTTGTTGGTTTAGCATGATGTTTCTTACACTCACTGATTTGTTGTTGTTGCGTCGTAATTTTTACTCAGCTTAGACTTGCCGTTTTGTAAATGATTGGTGGAATAAAGGCCTTTTTTCTTTTTCGTAATTCTAATTTTCGAACAGGAGATTGGATATTCTTCAGTCTGTATATATATATATATATATATATATTTCTTTTTTGTTAGTGTAATTTTTTTTTATTGGAAAATAAAATCTATTAATAATAAAAATAATAAATATATTATTTAAAGTTTGAAGGGAGATGAGGATAAGAAGTGTGTCGGTGGATATAGTAAAGAGAAAGCAAAGAAGAAGAAGAAACATGCGAATTTACGCAATTGCCTACGCGCCAAATGGTTTAACAGTTAAGCAACAAATCAATTAAAGTGTTCAGTGTTCACACCAGCCTGGCAAATCCATCCTCAATTATAAATGGATGTAGCTAATTTGACTGTGACACTATATGATTTATTTTTATTTTTATTTATTTATTATTATTATAGGGCAAAATTAGATACCAGGTCTAATAATTACGTTATTGTGCCTGAACCGGGTCCATATTCCGTTATTGGGACTATATTTTAAAGGGAACGGCTAAAACAAATACCATTTATTTTTCATTTCAATACCACCAACATAAAAAATAGAAAATAAATAGATAATGACATTAATACTTTTTAAAAATTAATACCACACAAATTTTGTGTGTGGTATTAATTTCCATTAAGGGTATTAATGTCATTATCTATATATTTTCTATTTATTTTTTATGTTGGTGGTATTGTAGTGAGAAATAAACGGTATTTGTTTTAGCCGTTACCATTTTTACATCCATATATTCTGTTGTTGGGCCTATATTTAAATCCATATGTTCTGTTATTGCACTTATATATTCGGATTTTCAGTTATTGGGCCTGAATGGGCCTATATTTAAATCCATTATTGGGGCTGAATCGGGCCCATATTCCACTATTGGGCCTATTTTTAAATTTATTAGATTCTTTTATTGGGGCTGTATATAAATTCGGATTTTGTCATTCGGCCTAACAGACCTTTATTTAGCAAGTATTTTAATTCATTTTAGGTAATCTAATTATTCCCTTTCGATTTCTTTTTTCTCTTATTAGTGATTGATCGATCCCTCTTCGTTAGTTTGATAAATGTCACGCAGTCACGAGTCCACCCGAGGACAACGGTCTTAACTGCAAAATTCTTTCGGCAAGCTTTGCTTAAGTCTAGAAAAATCAATGCACATCTTCCATTTGTTATTAGATTTTCTTGACGAGGACGGCGTTGAAAAGCCACATTGGGAATTAAATTTCTCGTATGGGACCAATTTTGAGGAGCCTTTCAATCTCATTGTCAACAATCTTATCTTTCTCGGCACCGCTTCTTCTTGATTGGCTTGCACTCAGGGTTCAAGCTAAGTCGACCTCGGTCAGGTCGAACATGTGTACATTCTTTAGTAAAAAAATGATTTATCATCCTCGCAACGCATGCTCTAACTCCCTACTCACCTTGTTCAGTTTCCCTTTTCATTGGATCAAGTTGATTGTCATTAATTCGTCCATTAACTGTACACGTATAAAAATAAAATTGAGGAACTAAATAAAATAGAAAATTAAACATTGTCGTTCGGAAATATGGGAAGATAATAAAAGAAAAAAAAAAGGAAAAGGACAAAGAAAAGTAAAAAGAGAAAATGTCTCACTTGGTGCTAGTGCTTCCATCATTGCCATTTGCCAAGCAAATAAGTTGAAACTGAAAGAGAATCAAATACTGTAATTATATATAAATATAATAATAATATTTGTATGAACCAGTAACGTATGTCACTCCGCAATTTCAATTTTCCACCACATCCTCTTTTAATTATTATATATTTAAATGGAATATTCAATCAATAGGGTCACACTTCTCTCTCTCTATCCTCCTCACAATACACACACATTCACACACTTCCCCTTTTTAATGCTCTGTAGAAAATGTCAACATAACGCAGACCCATGTTCAGCGCTTCTCCTTCTTCAAGCTATCTCACTCTCTCTCTATCTTCTAAGGTATTTCTTTGATTTCCAGCTCTTCCTTCTTCTCCACTGTGCTTGAGATTATGTTTTTTTAAACAGCATCTTTCACGGTTGTTTTTTTAGTGTGAATTTTGAGGTTTAGGATTTCATACTTCTGGTGTTGTTTTTGTGCGAATTTTCACATCTATTGTTGAATTATTACTTACTGCTTTTGTTAATTTGTTCATTTTGTTGTTATTGTTTCAGGATTTTGTGTATCTAGGTTTTGTATTTCTGGTATTTGATAGCTTCTAATTTTGGGTAGTTAAGCTATAAAAGCAAGGCGGTGGAGTTTTGGAGAACTAGGAGGGTTTGTAGGAACCTTTTTTAGGTGATTTTTCGATCTTGAATACACTCGGTCGAAATCATATGGTCATGGATCAGAACTTTAGACGTTATATCGGTCCGATTTCCGAAATCGGATTTACCAACCAAGCCGTTCCATTCCTCGGAGACCCTAATTCGGCGAACAATCTCAGAGTTTGTGATAGGTTTTTAAACGGAAATATTGCCGATAATTGGCTTATTTCCAGCCAGATCGGTCTCGATTCACAATCACAAGTCCAGTCGTCCGAAGGTGATCCGCCCGAAGAATTCGATTTTAGCGACATAGTGCTCAGGTACATAAGCTACATACTCATGGAAGAGGAAGTCGAAGACAAAACGTGCATGTTTCAAGAATCTGCAGCTCTTCAAGCCGCTGAAAAATCGTTCTACGATCTTCTTGGAGAACAGAGTAGTATCGAAAGCCCCGATGAGAAGTTTCTAGAAGAATCCGGAGGTTATGGTTATTCGGACGATGCAGAGAGTCTGTGCCCTGATTGGCATCCTCGTGATAATATTACGTCACAGTCGTATTATAGTTCGTCGAGTACGAGTAGCAATAATGGTGGAGGCACAACAATCATCGATGGACCTATTGATTCTCCAGTTAGCACTCTCAAAATACCCGATATGTTTCTTGATATCGAATCGGCTCTGCAATTCAAGAAAGGGGTCGAAGAAGCGAGTAAATTTCTTCCTGGTGGCATTAACTTAGTTAAGGTGGAAAAGAAATTGGATAGTAACGAGGAGTTTCTTGATTTATCGAGAGGGAAGAAGAATCACCACCGTAATAGTTCGGAAGAGGAGAGGAGCAGTAAGCAATCTGCAATTTGTTCCGAATCGAGTGTCAGTTCAGACATGTTCGATAAAGTTCTCTTATGCAGCGGAGGCAAAAATGAGTCCGCCCTTCGTAAAGAACTGAGCGAAGCAACTTCTCAAAACGTTCAGCAATCGAATATCACAAAAAGTACACGTGGCAAAAAACAGGGGAGCAAGAGAAACGTGGTCGATTTACGAACCCTATTGACCCTCTGTGCACAAGCAGTTGCAGCGGATGATCGTAGAACAGCAAACGAGTTTCTAAAGCAGATAAGACAGAATTCGAGTATGACTGGAGACGGAATGCAGAGGCTCGCGCACTACTTTGCAAACGGCCTCGAAGCGCGCATGGCTGGTTCGGGTACTCAGATATATAAATCCCTTCTCAATCTGCCCACATCAGCATCCGACATCTTGAAAGCCTACCACACATACCTCGCCACCTGTCCTTTCAAGAAGATCTCGCATTTCTTCGCGAACAAGACCATTATGAACGTCTCCCAGAAGGCAACGAGGCTCCACATCATCGATTTCGGAATTCTATACGGTTTCCAATGGCCCTGTTTCTTACAGCGCCTTTCTTCTAGGCCAGGTGGCCCCCCCAAATTACGTATAACGGGTATCGATCTTCCTTGCCCTGGTTTTAGACCTTCAGAGAGGGTCGAAGAGACTGGAAGAAGGTTGGCTAGTTATGCGAAGACTTTTAAAGTTCCGTTCGAGTTCAATGCCATAGCTCAGAAATGGGAAACGATTAAAATCGAAGATCTCAAAATTGATGAAGACGAGTTGCTGGTTGTGAACTGTCTCTACAGGTTCCGGAACCTTCTAGATGAAACCGTGATAGTGAACAGTCCGAGGAACATTGTCCTGAATCTTATTCGGAAAATGAACCCTGCTGTGTTTGTGCTCGGGATTGTAAACGGGGCCTACAATGCCCCGTTCTTCATTACGAGATTCCGCGAGGCATTATTCCACTACTCTTCGTTTTTCGATATGCTGGAGGAGAATATTCCACGGGAGATCCACGAGAGGATGCTTCTAGAAAGAATAGTGTTCGGAAGGGAAGCGATGAATGTGATTGCGTGCGAGGGGGCGGAGAGGATCGAGAGGCCCGAGACGTACAAGCAGTGGCAGGTTCGTAATATCAGGGTTGGGTTCGAGCAGCTCCCATTGGATAAGGAGATTATGAAAATGGCATTGAACAGAGTGAAGACTTCTTACCATAAGGATTTTGTGATTGATGAAGATGGTGGTTGGATGTTGCAGGGGTGGAAGGGGCGGATTGTGTACGGGCTTTCGTCTTGGAGGCCCGTTTACTGAGATTTGTATCGTCATTAAAAAAAAAAGAGGTGAAAATTACCTACTGGTGATTGTATTAATCCTTGAGAAATAATTAGTATGTAGTTGGAAGAAGGTCTTATCTTTGTAATTTTCTCTGTATTGCTCTGTTTTTAGTTAGGGTTTGTGTAGTGTAATAGGGTTGGTCTTAATTAGGCTTTAATTTGCTGTATTATCAAAGTTTTTTCAGTTAGGGGGCAAATTACTTCAAATGATTCTGTAGTTTTTATTCTAATGTCTGTGGATTGTATGGGAATTTCAAATTTGTGTTGAGATAAATTCCTTTTTCTATCTTCTACAATTTTTTTTCCCTTGCTTAAATCATAAGGCTTAAATCATAAGGTTAAATTACGGCCACTTCTGATGTAAAATTAAATTCCGATTTTTTTTTTCATGTTTGGGTAATTATACCTATTCATTCAGTCATCAACAGTGAATCTTCATATAAATTCACTTTTACAGTGTCGAATTTAATAGCATCTTCTAGATTCCATGAAATATTCTCTAGTTTGTACTCGTTTTGTGCAAAAATGCATTTTATGATGCACCACAATCTGATATCCACAAATCAAGGGGACACATTTTATGATCATCTTGTTTCAGAACGTGGAGCTCAAATATGGTAAAACGGGTACAACCTGGAGAATATTGCTTATAATATAGAAGATTTCACTAAATTTGACAGTGCAATGATAGACGTGTAAGAAGATTCATAGTCAATGGACTAATTGTAATTAACAAAATAAGAGTGAATTTTTACCAAAAATTATAAAATTAAGATGGTAGGATAAGGTTGAAATGTAGGCGCGTGTGATGTAGGCATGTGGTTAGGAAAATTGTGGTCACAAGAGTAGACTTTTCGGTCAAAGGTCCCCAAGTCCGGATAAATCTTATTTTTTGTTTCAAAAAGTGCATGTCACGTTTTTTTGTCTCTATAAATAAATTATGTCGTAGTTAGAAACTATATTTAGGAAAATCTTATGTCGGACAATTTAATCATTCATGATTATAATCAAAACCTATATTGTCCATGGAAAATTCCTTGGATATATCAAGAAGAAGATCAATGGAGGATTTAAGGTCATATATCAATTTTCGAAAAAAAAGAACATAAACTATCATTGACAACAACCTAATTAAATATTATTTATTTATTTTAATGAATAATACTTTTACAATATATATATATAAAAAAAATCAAACTAAATGTTGGAAAAACCGATAAACGGTCATTTAATATAATCAGAATGTTACACCTTAAATAAAAAATTAAGTAACAAATTTTATCCTAATTTTAAAGAATACTAACCCACTACTAACAACTAACTAAGTATCCTACAATCACGGAATACTATTTTGACTAATTATTTTACGAAATTAATATTAATCATTTAATTAACTAAATAATAAATTTAATATTTTAACACCCTCCCTTAAACTGATTTCTGCGGAAAACAGTTTACAATGAGATTTATTGTTCTGCTTTGATATATTCTTTTGCGAAAGAACATATATCAAATTCCTCACATTGAGAACCAATGCCTCAAACACTCCAACTCGGGCGAACGCCAATTTTTCGAACGCCTCCGTCAATCTTCACCGATCGACACTCCATCAATTTTGGACGAACGAACTTTTCGAACGCCTCTTTCCGCCAATCTTCATTGATTGACACTTCATCAATTTTGGATGAACGCAACTTTTCGAACGTCTCCCTCAGTCAATCTTCACTAATTGACAAAATGATTTCTTTTACTCAAGAAATCTATTAGCTGCTGCTAATATCACCACTTCTAATTTAAAGAAGTATTCCACAATGTTCTCATCCTCAAACATTGTATTCATCAGCTACGGCTGATTTCAAAATTTTCAATACTCTCATCAACCACTTCTGGCTCGAATCCTCCTAGAGGACTGAGATGCCGCCTGCTACCTGCCACCTTAAGCCTCCAATCGTAATTTGCCGCCTCGAATCTTCTAATCTTCCTACCGAGTTTGCCAAATATGTTGTCCTTTGCCGAGTGTCGCCTCGTTTGTATCAGATTTTGCCTTGGCTGCCTCAACGGTGTCACAAATGGGCCGATTCATCTTGCCCTCCCCTCGCAACAACTGTTGAAAAATGAGAAGATCGCCTCATGATCACCTCGATTTCTTCATTGGCCATCGTCATATTAATTGAAAACAAAGACTCGATCACCAAGGCTGTCGCATGTGCCTTTGGCGCAACCATTCTGTTAATGGCATTCTTATGCCTTGGATAATGAAACCCAATCCAAACCTTGCCGAGAGCCTCCGCTGTTGCTTCTACTACTTTCGTAGCCTCTGCTGGGTTAAGATCCGCTGTGCTTGGTGCAATGCACAGAGGCTCCGTCAGGACCAGTCACATTTGCTGCCTTAGCACGTCCATCGTCATTGCCGTGCGCCAATGTCAGCTCCGCCATTTTTCCTTCGATGAGTCTGCGGAAACCCCATATTTGATGGCTGATAAGGTCACATCGTAAACATCTTAATGTTGTTGCCGATTTAACACTGAATCTCGTCGAAATCCTACGTTGTTGGATCATCTACTAAATCATAAAATCCCTATTTGAGACTCTCTGCTTTCTTTATCTCTCTCGACCTTCAAAGACTGAGATCTCTTTGAACATGGCTTAAGTTTTCAATGATCGAAGTATGAAAAGCTTCTGCCATTCTCATAAATACTCACTCACGAAGACTCTCTCTTTTTTTTTTTTTTTTTTTTTTTTTCCTTAAATTTTTAAACTCACTTCTCAATTCTCATGCCCTAGAGAAGATACGATAAAAAAAGTACACAATAAATAAAAGAGTTGGATCACACGTCAGGATCCAAGCTCTGATACCATGTTGGGAACAATAAATAAAAGAGTTGGATCACACGTCAGGATCCAAGCTCTGATACCATGTTGGAAAAACGGTGTTTTTCATTTAATATAATCAGAATGTTACACCTTAAATAGAAAACTAAGTAACAAATTTTATCCTAGCTAATTTTAAGGAACAGTAACCCACTACTAACAACTAACTAAGTATCCTACAATCACGGATACTATTTTGACTAATTATTTTACTAAATTAATATTAATCATTTAATTAACTAAACAATAAATCTAATATTCTAACACTAAAGGGGGAATTTGCCCAAACAGAAGTGCATTGACAAGAAACTTCGACAAGTGACGAAATTGCAAGAGATGAAACCGGCGACGAACAAGGACACGGCAAAAATCAATACGATACTTGAGCACGCCAATAAATTGCTAGAGGAGGAATGAGAGAAATATGATAAACGGTAATCGATGAAGAAATTGAAAGAGGATAATAAATTGGAAAAGATGAAGGAAATTAAAGAGGAGCTAAAATTAGTGTTATCGGTCATATGCTTACTTTAGTGGAGACCGTATTTTCGAACAAGGAAAGAAACAGTAATTAGAAAAAAAAAAAAGATACATTTTGTTTTAGGATGCTTGGTAAAACCAGTAGAAACAACAATTTGAAAGGACACAAAAAAAGTTGATCCAACGGCTATTAAAAATACGGAAAGGTTGTATCACTTAAACATCTAAGGCCTCGTTTAGTAGGCAAGATAGGATTAGCCAAGATAAGATTAAATAATCTAATGAAAAATTCAACTGTTTTATCGAACTTCGGAAGGTCCAACAAAAAGCTCCCTAAAACGCATAATAACATAATATTTTCGGGCCGACCCAATTATTTAATTAACAATGGCTAACCTACCCAATCGAACGAGGCCTAATAGTTTTGGCCAATTATAAAAAAAGGACACAACCCTATTATATGAAAATTAACACAATTTAATGTTCCATAATATATACATAGCTTCTCTGAACTTGGAAACTGTAATCACCTGCACATAAAAAATATGAAAAGATTGTAAATAAAGCTCAAGCTGTTAAAAAGAGTGTAAATTTCTATAACATAAACTGGAAGGACTATATTGCAATTAATTGACTTCTCTCAAGTTACATGCAAAAATATGTAAATTTTGCTCAAATTTATGAGATATAAATACACCTGCGTACAATTCTGCGTACAATTTGAACAAGTGAAAATGCACTCTCTTTGGGGACATCAGTTTGTATCAATGAAAAGACTTCAAGCCCCATATTTTCTGAGAGTTTGATTTATGAGTATAATATTAGCAATGTTCAAGAGATGTCTCCGACACTAATTCATACGAAAAAAAACATACGGCAGTAAAAACTGCAACATCTTACGAAAGTAGCAATTATAAGTTAAAGTTGTAACAGAGTAATACACACGGAATAAATTAACGAGACTATGTACTTTTTACATTGGAGCAAGAAAAGAAAATTTTAATGTATGACCATATCGAGATTCAAGGCTAAGTAGAACGAGCCGAGTCCCGGCGGCCGGCATGCAGTCTTTTCAATATGTAGATGGATTCTCACTAACGAACAGAAGCAAAACTGGAAGCGAAGGAGAAGAAATTGGAAGAGGAGCAAAAGAAAGTGGAATCGAAGGAGAAGAAGGGGAAGGGGGTTTATAAAGGGATGCCAATACTGCTAAAGAAGAAGCTGGATGAGTTGTATAGTCGTCATTCTACTCTACTATATGAACGAGATTCCATCCATACCTTTTCTCCCAAAGATGTATGAATTTGCCAAAATGGCAATTGATGTGTTCAACCAAAGACAGGTTTTTTTTTTTTTTTTTTTTTTCTCTTAAAATTCTGATTCTGTTCATGTTTATGCTTTCCTTAGTAAGACTTTTAATTGGTAAATGTGTGTGTGTGTGTGTGTGTGTGTGTGTGTGTGTGCAGGCCACCAAACACAGTCTGGTGGATCTGATCAGTGCAAACAGAGGTTTATTCGCTGGATTTGTAGTGCATGTGGTTTTTACGGCCAAGTCTGATGATGACGACGAGTATACTAAAACTTTCCACACAAATATTCACACTGTAATTGGACGCCCTAAATAAGTAACCTATGTTGATATCGAACGAACGAACGTAACTTAACTTATTTGAAGATCGCAACTGCTCATAGAGGGAGGTGTATATCAGTACATCAACCATATTCAAGAGACTTGCAAAAGAAATAGTGAAGTTTTGAGAGGATGTAATTCATACGAGTATAAGGTAAGAATACAAACCGATAGATTCCACACGTAACTTACAAGGCTAACAACAAGTATAAAAATGAGACCAGAACAGGAATAGTGAATACATTAACTCCACCAATACAATGACATGAACCATAAAGTATTGAGTCGATTAGTTTAATTTCCAGACCTCTATATACGTATATAATAAAAGAAATATAAATTGGATAACCACAAATACGAGCAGTAGCAAGCAAATTGTCAATACATAATATTAGCATTGTTCCAGGCAGCATTGGCCTAAACACACCATCATTTTCTTTTTCACAAATTAAGAAAAGGTCTCTAGATAGATGCACACAATAAAATTAGTTCACAACCCTATTATATGAAAATTAACACAACTTAATGTTCCATAATATATATATATATATAGCCTCTCTGAACTTGGAAACTGTAATCACCTGCACATGAAAAATCCGAAAAGATGTTAAATGCTAGTAAAAGCATATAAAGCTCAAGTTGTTAAAGAGTGTATATTTCTACGGCATAAACTGGAAGGACTACATTGCAATTAATTGACTTCTTTCATGTTACATGCAAAAATATGTAAATATAAGAGACATTAATGCACCTACTTACATTTCTACGTAAAATTTGAACAAGTGAAACTTTTCAAACTGCACTCGGGATATTATCAGTTTGTATCAATGAAACGATTTCAAGCTCAGGATACTTTCTAGAGAACTCGATCTATGAGTACATTACTGTCTTGGACATTAATTCATACGAAAAAACATACGGAAATAAAAACTGCAAACGGATAACTTCCATTTTACTACATGCATGTCCAACACATATAGCAACACCTACAACACTTGGACAATCCCAATAACTCAAAGACTAATTATCCAACATCTTACGAAGAGTTGTAATTATAAGTTAAAGTTGCACTAGAACATAATAAATTAACGAGTCCCTGTACTTTTTATATTGGAGGAAGAAAAGAAAATTTTAATACATGCCCATATCGAGATTCAAGTCTAAGTCTCGGAACGTAGTCTTGCCAATATGTAGATAGCTTCTCACTAACGAACAGAAGCAAAAAACAAAGACATATATTCAATATAAATCTTCATGTGTGTATGAACATTAAAATACTAAAACATATAGCAGCAGCTGAAGAAAAGCAAAACGAGAAAAGTGAGTATACCTATAGCAGGCAAGGACGATCGACAATTTCAACAAACTCTACATAGTTATGTGTGACGGAAACCCGAGCTCGAAATTCTTTGGGATACTCTTCATGTCCACCTCCATAGTCGTACTTCGACTTAGCGATAAACACCAAATCAATCATAAACCCTGGGGATAAATGTCTAGTTGCACGCACCAACTCCACCAAACTGTATTCGATGAGCTAGACACACACACAGACACAATAAATTAAAAGAAGCAATTACTTTTATTAATCATTTATAAGTAGTGGTAGACTGAAAATAAACAACAAATTATTTTACACGAAAAAAATGAGATACAAAATACATACATGTGTCTTGTTGTAGACTTCCATAACTAAATCAGCACATCGTTGGACAGTTTTCATCGTTTCATCATCACAGCTGGTGGGATTTCCATCATAAAAGACAGAGCCAATAGGAAAAATTGGCGTTTCCGAATCCTCTTCATCCTCGGGAAATTCAAAATAATCCACATAATCATTACTGATCGAAACCCTAGCTCGAACAATTATGGGATACTTATCAACACCATCCTCCTCGGGCTCGGGCTTAACGGTAAAAACCATATGCAACGTCCAAAGTCCGAAATTTACTGATGTTGTATGCACCATATCCACAAAACTGTATTTGTTGAGCTGCACACACACATATATTAAAAGAAGAAGTAATTATTAATTAATTAATTAATTAATTAATTAATTAATTAATTAGTAGTGGGCTGAAATAAACACCAGATTAAATTATATTGAAGGAAAAAAAAGGGAGAGAAGATACATACATGTGTTTTGTTGAAGACATCAATAACTAATTCGGCATATTTTTTCATAGTTTCCATGTGGTGTGGAAGACAGCGGGTCGGATCTCCGTTATACCAGATCGAGATTCCACCTGCACCACAAGCTTTTGGTTTCTTATCTTTCGTCTCATTGCCCTGATTCTCCTCACACACTTGCAATTTCTTCATTGAAGTCTTTCTCGATTTGTTCTTCTTTTCTAGTTTCTTCATTGAAATCTTTTCCGATTTATTCTTCCTTTCCAGTTTCTTCATTGAAATCTTTTCCGATTTGTTCTTCTTTTCCAGTTTCTTCATTGAAATCTTTTCCGATTTGTTCTTAATTTCCTGTTTCTTCGGTTCCTTCATCGAAACTTTTTTCATGCCGCCGCCGCCGTATTCAGAACAAGCGATGATCTCTCTCTAACGAAACCCTAGCCCCTTTCGTTGGTTTCTTTTTCTTTTTCTGTTTTCTCGAAATACCTTATATAATGGGTATTTGGCATTTTCATCCTTAAATTACATGATATTGGCACTTTGCACCCTAAAATTAGAAAAATGGCAGAATGCACCCTTCAGTTACATTTTGCTTGGCACTTTCCACCATAATTCTTTTTCTTTTTTTGGCTAGAAAAGTGACATGCTACCTGTTATGTGAGATTTGCATAGAGGCATCATATATTTTTTGGGCGAATGGCTAAAATGCTCATCACATAGGTCTTAAATGCATTTTGATCCAAAAAAAAAAACAGTCTCTCAATAAAAACTCATCCACATGTCTTTAGTCTAAAATACCCTCCATAATATAATTCTTATCAATTTCATCCATTATGTTATAACTTCCTTAATATTACACATTGACTCCGGATTTAACAAATATATCACATTAACCCCCAATTTTTTTTTTTCATAAAATAATTTTTTTTATGAATTTTTTTTTCCGGCCAGATTTCGGCATCGACTTTTTTTTGAAAATTTTTTTCTTAGAAAAAAAATATTTTGATTAATATTACTGTCTTGGCTACTAAATTACTATCTCAGACAGTAATATTATTAATATTATTTTCCCGAACAGTAATATTATTGTTTAAGACAGTTAAATTACTGTTGGAGACAGTAATTTAGTATCCAAGACAGTAATATTAATTAAAATATTTTTTTTAAGAAAAAAAATTAAAAAAAAAAAAAAGTCAATTAACTGTTAAATTACTGTCTTGTCTCCGGCAGTTAAATAACTGGTGGAGACAATAATTTAGCAACGAATACAGTAATATTAATTAAAAATATTTTTTTAAGAATAAAAAAGTCTATTAACAGTTAAATTACTGTCTCCGGCAGTTAAATAACTGCTGGAGACAGTAATTTAGCAACGAATACATTAATATTAATTAAAAATATTTTTTTAAGAATAAAAAAGTTAATTAACAGCTAAATTACTGTCTCCGACAGTTAAATAACTGATGGAGACAGTAATTTAGCAACGAATACAGTAATATTAATTAAAATATTTTTGAAGAAAAAAAAAGTCAATTAACAGTTAAATAACTGCCGGAGACAGTAATTTAATAGTCAAGACAATAATATTAATTAAAATACTTTTTTTAATTATAATAAAATAAAATAAAAAAATCAACGCCGGAGACCCGGCGGTCAACGGTAGTTGACCGGCCGAAAAAAAAATTCAGGGAAAAAAATTTTTCAAAACAAAAAAAGTCAACGGTGGTCAACGGCGGCGACCGGCGGTCTCCGGTGGTGGCGGGTCAAAATTGGGGTGAAAATTAAAATAAGGGTTAGAATTGGTTAATTGATGAAATTGAGCTAAATTGGAGTGTAAATCATGAAATTTGAGTTGAATTGGGTTTCAATGAATTGGGGGTAATTTTGGTATATATAAAAAGATTTTCCTTATTTGCAAATAAGTTTGAATGAACTGGATTTACTTGAAAGACAAAAACGTTGGATGTCCTTCTTTTAGTTAAGTGCTCTTTTCATGGGCCTTTTTGTGATTTACCCATATTTTTTTTTTCTTTATTGCTCACAAACTTCCATTTCTTATATGATTTCTTAGCAAGTACAAGATTAATGTCAATTACATCAATTCAACAATTAATTCTCGACCATCTCTTTGTGTTAAGGTGATAAACCAAACATTAGACTATTAATTTGTAGATTTTCTCTTATCTTTTTAGTTAAATATCTACTCCATAATATTAAATATAAAAATTGATTTTTTTAGGCATTCGATGTTTTAACCAATTGATGTAATAAAAACAATAAAAGTAAACCCTTCTTTTTTACAAATAACCATAATATATACATAATTCTCCTTTGACTGCGGCTATATGCAAGACTAATTCCACTTGTGCAAGACCAAATTAAAATTTTCAATGTATAAATACAATAATACCCTTATTTATTAAAAAAATAAAAAATTCCAAATATGCAAGACCAAAAATTCAAAAACACAAAAAACCCTATCACAAGACCACAAAATCACAAGACCAACTCTCATCTTCTCCATCTTCCAAAACACACAAGACCTTTCTCCTTCCTCCTCCATTAACCCACAAAACCTAGAAATTCAAAATAATCAAAACTCAACAAATCCCAAAGATGGCAAGTATGGAGTCATAACTCATAAGACATCAAAATAGAAGATTCTACGATGGAAGAACCCAAGAATGTATGCATTTATGGGTTTTTTTAGCTAGAATATCGATTTTCCAAAAAAAATCCCGCGCAAACGAATTCGACATGTACATGTCGAATTTTACAGGTAAAAATTGACATTTAGATGTCGATTTTGAGGTATAAAATTCGACATTTGAATTTGTGCTATAAATTCGACATGTCAATGTCGATTTTTACCTATGAAATTCGACGCTTAAGTGTCGATTTGTAGCATAGTTTTTCGACACCTTGGTGTCGATTTTTGTTTTTTTCTCGTTATTTGTATTTGGTCTTACATGAGAAAAAAAAGCCAATTTAATTTATGGGCATACTTGTCATTCCATCTTAATAAAATAGAATCTTTTTGAATATTTCTTTAATTTGGTCTTGCACAAGTGGAATGAGTATTGCATATAGCCGCATCCTTCTCCTTTTAAGACTATATGAACAAGAAAAATTAAGTTTGATTATCTATTTTAAATACTATATAAGTGGTGAAAGTTTATGGAATTGCTGATTGCATGACCTTTATTTGCATATACCATATTAACAAACATTAATTTTGAATGCTTGCTTTTAATTGAATACGTATTTATTTTAAAATAAATAAAATATAAATTTATTTAAAATTGAAGTAAAGTATCCTCATACTCTTGATAGAGAACAATGAACATTATAGTTGTTTTTGGTCGGATTTGGATATGTGCAATGAAGAAGATAAAATATATCTAAGTTTGTGAGAAATAAAGAAAGACAAATTCATCCATCTTCAACAGGGAGCAGATCACTTTTCTTGCCAAAAAATGAATTAGGGTGCAAAGTGCCAAGCAAAATATAATTAAAGGGTGCATTATGCCTTTTTTCAATTTAAAGGTGCAAAGTGCCAATGACATGTAATTTAAGGTGCAAAGTGCTAATTACTCTATTTAATGGGTAAATTCCACTTTCGTCCTTGTACTTTTGCTCAATATCACTTTACTCATTTCTACTCTCGATCGCATCGTTTACCCCCGCACTTGAATAACTATTTCATTGTGGCTGTTAGTTTTCAGACTTCTAATCTTAACACCGTTTGGTTTAAACTCTAATAATTACAAAAAACCCACTCCTACCAGTCTAAATAATTATAAAAAAAATTAGTAAAAGTAATTTTTGGTGGCCGTAGTGGACTATGCTTTCTTGTTGTTTTGAATTCTTTATATTTTATTCTTAGTTGTTGTTGTTTTTTTTTTTAATAAGTATTTAAATTGAGAGGGTGTTGTTTTTGTAATTTCAAGTTTAGCCCCGAATAGTAGGGTTGTGCGTTGGTTGGTTTGGTTAAAAACCAGCCATAAAACCAACCCAACTCATCCAACCAACTTTGGTAAATATTGAGAACCGTTATCGACCCAATTTACATGGGTTGGGTGATGGTTGAAAACCAATTTCGTGGGTCGGTTGATAGTTTGGTTGATGGTTCATCCATCTAAAAAATTTTTTTTTTTTAATATTTTATTAGTTGTCACAACATTATATCTTTTATAAATTAAATGTGACTACTTTAACAATATTCAAATAAAAGATTCAAAACATTACGGACATATGTATTGCAATTAAACATAAATAGTTCAACAATTTATAATTGTCCAAATATTTAGTATATATTTCTTAAAATTAAAATAGTTCAAATTAGATAATTAGGTTAGATTTATTGTTTTTAGAATTTTGGTCAATATTAAAAAAATTAATAAATGTGATATAAAATAGAATTTTGAAATTAAAAATATTAAACATTTAAAAAAAAAATTAATAAATAATAAATTAATAAATAAAGTTGGTTGGCCGATATTACCCGACTAACCAACTTTTTAGCATATTAGAAACAATTATCGACCCAACTATACATGGGTTGGTTGACATTATCGACCCAAGTTAAATGGGTCGGTTGATGGTTGATTAACCATCACAAATTATGGGTCGAAAATGAGTTGGTTGGTGGTCAACACCGATCCATGCACAACCCTACCGAATGTGTTAGAGTCAATGGCGGATCTTTTAGGGGGGGGGGGGGGGGGGGGGGGGGGGGGGGTTTTTTCCCCCCCAAACTAATAAAAATATGGGCAAAACTACAATTAGGATTTTTGGATTTTAAATTTTTAAAAAAAATTTTTAACCCCCCTAAAATTTTTTAAAAAAATGTTTTAAAACCCAAATTTTTTTTTTTTGTCGGTAAAAAAATAAAATAATTTAATTTTTAAACCCAAAATTAAATTTAAAAAAATTTAAAAAAAGGGTAAAATTTTTTTTTTTTTAAAAAAAATCAAAAAAAATTTTCTTTTTTTAAAATTTTTTTTTTAAGGGCCCTTTAAAAAAAAAATAAAAAAAGGCCTTTAATTCCCAAAAATTTTAAGGGGAAAAAATAAAAATTTTTTTTTAAGGTTTCAAAAGGGAAAAAAAAAAAAAAAAAAGCTCTTTTTAATAAAAAAATTTTAAAACAAACCTTTTTTTTGCAAAATTTGGGAAAACAAAAAAAAAATTTTGGGCCCTTCCCCCAAACCCCAAAATTTTTTTTACCCCCCCCAAAAATTAAAACCCGGTCCCCCCCCCGGTAAAAGGCAAATTTTTAAAAAGGGAAAAAAAAAAATTTTGGCCCAAAAAAAAAATTTTTCAATTTTAAAAACTTTTTTATTT